GCCCCTGACCTCAGGCGGTCATCTTGGAGAGCTGCGATGCAGTCCCAGACACCCTGGGCCTCACTGGGGCCCCTCATGCCCTCCTGTCCTTGTCTCCTGAGCATCAGAAGACATCTTCCCAGCTAAACAGGTTGCAGGTTCAAAGAGCCCCATACTCACCTGGTCGCCTGGTTTTCCACCTTCACCTGGGGGACCAGGAGGGCCAGGAAGTCCCTAGAAGCCAAAATGACAAGCATCAGCAAAGGCGTGAGTTTTCTGGGAAGCCTTATTCCCCTGGTCCCCCTCGAGGGGGGCAGGCCCTCCACCCACCGTGCTGCCCTACTGAGCCCCGAGCAGGGAAAGGGACGACTGAGAAAGCCTGGTTCAGACACCTACCTGGAACCCGGATGGCCCAGGAGCACCCTGCTCGCCTCGTTCACCAGCAGGTCCCTGCAGAGGACACAAAGGCGGGTCATGCCAGCACTCCAGAGCACCCGGGAACCTCCACTGGAGGCCCTGGGGGTGGCCACAAGAGGACAGGACAGACACCTTCCTGCACTGCCCAAGCAAGGTGTACACGCCTATGTGCTTTGCTGTCCTCCCACCGATGACAACCAGGATGGGGTCCCCACTGCTTCTTCGGGGTGGGGCACTCTGCCACCGCTCAGAGTGGGTCTGCCGTCCTGGATCAGGCGCACAGCTGTCAGCTCCATTACCGAGTGGGCCTAAGGTCTACCTGCCTCCACCCCACCAAGCTCCTGACCACGGGGCCACCTGGAAAGGGTGAGCAGGTACTTACAGAGGGTCCAGGGGGGCCTGCAGCACCTGTCTCGCCATCTTTGCCAGGAAGACCCTAGAGGGAAAAGGGAAGAGTGATGTAATGACATACTTTTCTTCAGTTCTACAGACCCCCAGGACTGGGCGAGTGCACTTCTTGTGGCCCAGAGTTTCCAGAACTCCACAATCCCTGACCTAAACTCCATGTCTATCCCTTCCCTCCCCTTCCTTGCCTGACCCCTCGGTTTTTCTCAGTACAAGGGGCTCCCCCACCTCCCTGGGCTGCTACTGACTGAATGCAACCAGAAGTCCGTCCGTGTAAACTCCTCAAGTGCCCAAAGCAGACGGACTCAGCCATAGGAAGCCACACTGCTAGCTAGGGGTCCCAGGAACATGCCGTGGGGACGTCTCTCCCTCGTGGATGTCCAGCCTACACCAAGGCACCACTGTGGGAAGGGTACTTACTCTCAGACCAGGAGCACCAGGCAGTCCTTTCTCACCAGCTTTCCCAGGCTCGCCCTGGGGGAGAGAGTGCAGGACCATGAGGTAGAGGGCTTTGGTGGGAGTCGGGGGGTAGAGCAGGCTGGGAAGACTGGGGCCTGATAGACAGCAAAGGCTAAAGCCGATTATCAGCAGCTTCTCTGACACTCAGAGGTATGAACTGAGGCACTGCCCCATGGAACAATGTCATAGCTGACAGGTCTCAAAGCTCTAAGGAGCCCTGGGTTTTCCCAGATCACATGCACTCCTGTAGGACATGGAGGCCCGAGCTGCCTGTGGTACCAGGGACCCTACTTGTCACTGCCCTCCAGTTAACTATATTCAGGAGACAGCCCTCTCCCCAGGGGGCAGGGAGGTAGGTAGCACCATATGGAAAGAAATGGAAGGGCAGGTTGTTACTTACATTGGCACCTTTGGGGCCAGGAAAACCCATGACACCAGGCTGCCCACGAGCTCCCTGAGGACCTGGAGGTCCAGGGCGACCATCTTCACCAGGGGCTCCCTGAAAAAGAAGACACCATTCTCAGAACAGACACTCTGAACACATTCATCTGTCCAATATCTACTAAGAGCCTACTATGTGGCAGGCACAGGGCTGGGCATTGGCCAGACACAACATGTGAGACTGACCAAGGTTGTGACCAGCAGCCCATACCACACACATGGACCCCATCGGTGACAAGGCACTACTTAGCTTAGAAATTTTGCCCCTGAATGTACACACCAGGCTTGGTCTTCCCCCCACCCCCACCCCCGCCAAAAAAAAAGGCCCAAATGCACAAAGGGGAGACATTTTCAGAGCTCACAGCCACTGCACATGCCACACCTGATCCCAGTACCTACCATCTGCCCCCTCCCCAATTCATAGGATGCCCCCACTCAAACTCCTATCTCTCTTCCCAACTGCCTCCCCAAGGATATACCCCAACCCCTCCCAACAAACCATATAATGGACTTACAGAAGGACCAACTTTGCCTTGAGGACCAGCATCACCAGGGCGGCCAGTGAGACCCTTTGTTCAGGAAGGAGAGAGGCAGATGGGTGTTAGAGCAAGTCCCAGGACCTCCCAATCCTGGCAGCACAGGGTTGGAGGGAACAGGTGGGAAAGGGTATGAAGGGTCTGCTCAGAGCCTGAAGCTGAGGGCAAAAGCAGTTCCATACTCACCCGGGCTCCAGGAAGGCCAGGCTCTCCGGGACGGCCAGGGTCCCCATTGGCTCCCTTGGGGCCAGCAAGGCCACTGGGCCCTCGCTCTCCGGGTGCTCCCTATACAAGAGGAGGCAGGTAGTCAGCAGGAGGCCATTAGACCAGAGATGTGGGAAGGGACCCCAGACCCTTTTCCCCAACTCACCTTGGGACCTGCCAGACCATCTTGACCTGGGAAACCACGGTTGCCAGGAGCACCCTAGGAAGAAGTGGGAAGGAGAAGCAGTGAGTTAGAATGGTCCCTGACCCAATCATGCTGCAGAGAGCTTAGCCAGGTTCCAGGGGGTCCATCCTACCAACCCACCAACTACAGTTTCTGTGGAGCAGTAGCTATGCTTGCAAGATTCTGAGAGATTAACTTCTTGGGCCTGTCCCCACCTTTCTGGGAAGGAGCTCATTGTTTCATGTCATCCTGGAGGTGGGGGACACAAATAAGAAGAAGGGAACCCTATCCCCATGGCAGTGGGTGGAAAAAAAAGGAGTATGATATCCAGAAGGCCACAAGACTTGGCAAGAGCACAGAGCCACAAGAAGTTGATTTCCATGTCAAGGTCACATACCAGTGAAAATAGGGATTCCTAGCCCACTTACTCTTTCTCCTGGGGGACCAATGGGCCCAGCACCACCAGGCTCTCCACGGGCACCTCTTTTGCCTTCTTCACCAGCAGGACCAGGGGCCCCTTGGGGGCCTGCAGGGCCCTGAGAACCAACACAAAAGAGAAACAGGGTGAGTCTTCACCTGGCCCAGGACAAGCACTGGCCAGCATGTGGAGGAATTCTTGGCAATTGTTTCAGGGCTGGGGGACTTGGGGACGGGAGGCCATAAAGGATCAGTGGTGGAAGAACAGAAGCAGAAAGAGACAGGCTATAAAGTTCAAACTTCAAACTGGTCAAGCCAGAGATGGGAACCGAATCTATATCTTCTCAATGCTGTTGCATCCTGTTCTCTGGGCACAACCTGGTAAGTCCCAGGTGAAGGGCTAGGGCTACAGTAGAGGTGGGCAATGGGCCAAGGGATGGCCCTGGGCCCCATAGAGCAGCAGCATGGAAAGACAAGGGCTATGGACAGATACTCACAGGTTCTCCCTTAGGGCCTTGTTCGCCTTTGAAGCCAGCAATACCAGGCTCACCCTTGACAAAAGAAAGGAAGGTTCTCACAGTGGGTTCTCTCCTCAGACCCTGCCCCCACCTCCAGAAACCCTCAAAGGCACCCACCAAAGGATACCAGTGTGAGCATGGGAAGGAGGGACGGTGGAGTTTTGACTCCAAGTTGTCAGTGAGACTTGGGGTTCACTCCAGGCTCTTACCGTCTGACCTTTTGGGCCCAGAGGACCAGTTGCACCTTGTGGGCCAGGAGGGCCACGGGGCCCAGGAAAGCCGGGAGCACCAGCAATGCCAGGAGCACCCTGTCAGCATGAGCAGAAGAGAAGGTCATCAGGAGAGGGTGTGAGGGAGGACCAACCCCACCTGGAGGAGTCAAGTCCAAGGGCAACACTCACAGCAGATCCTTTGGCTCCAGGAATTCCATCAGTTCCAGGGTTACCCTGAAAAAGGAGACAGTGTCATTATAATATGAGCAGCAAAGAATAAACTCCAGCTCTCCTAGCCCTCCCAGGCCACAGGTCCAGGGGCTAGGCCAACAGCTGCCCATTCCAGGCACAGTCTTGCTGGATGCTTCAAGGGGAGGATGGGAGATGGAGGGAGACATGTCTGTAGAGATGGGGAAGCAGGCACTGGGTCAGAATGAAGGTTTGGTGATTGGGGTTCCACTTTCTTCATAGCTAAGCATAGAGTCAAGAGTGCCAGAGCTACAGACCCAGGCCCTTCAGGCCAAAGGAAAGCTGTACTTACAGAGGCACCAGTCGGCCCAGGGGACCCAGGAGTGCCAGGTTCACCGCGAGGACCTTGAGCACCTTCAGGACCACGAGCACCAGTGGGACCAGCTTCACCCTTGAAGAGACAGGGAGGAAAGGAATAAGGAAGAGATGGAGGACAGAAACCTCTCGAGAGCCAGCAACAGTCCAGGGCCAGCTGTATGCATGCACCAAAAAGCTGAGCCATGAACATGCACACACTCCCTACCCCCCACCCCAGCACCTAAGGACACGTGTTCCCACAGGGACCACCTGACCAGGCTTGCTGACCTGATGACTTCCTCACACTGCCTCTCTAGCCTCCATCTCCCCTCTATACTGTGAACCACCATGAGCAAATGCAGTTACACACTACAGCAGTGGGTATCATGTTGGTCTCATCAGCACCCATCAGAAAGCCTATGCTGAGCGGGTGGGAGAGGGGGGGTCCTGCCATCCTAGCATTGTGGGATGATGGACAGATGGCTAAGATGGGCAGGCACTTCTACCTCCCTCTCTTCACCTTTGTTTCTCTTTTCTTGAGGAAATGAAGGCCCTCAGATACCTCAGCTCAGGGCACCACTCTGCTGGTATCTGGTTGATGTGTGAACACTGCCGCCCCAGGCTCTGGGCCAGGCCCATTTGAAGTGAGCCAGAAAGCCAGGGAAATCGCAAACTGGGACAAGTGCCCCACTCTACTTTTCCCTGCTCTGACTACAGTCCAATTCTCCTGGGTTTCTGGCAGTCCCCTGCCCCTCCGCCCCCAAATGGCCTCTGCTTTTACTTTCATTTTTTCCTGAAAGTTGCAACTAGCTGAGGTCTGGGCTTTCTGGCCGGCAGAATCCCTGGGGAGGACTGCTGACCTGGAGGGAAGGCAGAGCCTCCTCAGGTTTCTTCTCAGAACATTCTTGCTTCACTTTTGTAATTATGATTTTCTAAAGGTCAGGCCCCCTCACCTTCCACTGTCTCTCTTCACAATGGGTCTCCTTCACCAGGCTCCCAGGGCCTCAGACACTGTCTGGTTGCCATGGAAACCCCCAGGAGGGGAAAAGCAACCTGATGCCAGTGACCACACGGAGGCTCCTTATTCATCTCCTGGCGGTGACAGGAGAGAATTCCCAGGGACATGTGCATTGGAATCCCTCCTGGGCCACAGGGGCCTTTCCCTGCACTGGCTGGCCTCCTACTGGCCTCTATTAATCCTCGGAAGAACTCAATTAACAGGGCTTGGAAGAGCCAAGCCCCCAGATGAAGTGGAGAGAGGGAAGCATGAAACCATCTCCCCGCCCCTGGCCCACTTCTCTCCAACTCTCTTCCGGGCCCAGAGTCAGCTGAGTTTCGCCTTCTTTCCTTCTATTCCTGGCCTTCTGCTCCTGCCCAGGTCTCCGGTGTCTCCCCATCTTTCTTGGCCTTGCCTTTCTCTGAAGCTGTAACTGTAGTACCTCTAGCTCTTTATCATTCCATCTCACTTTCCCTTCCAGCTGGTGACTCTGCGAAATGCCTGGCTCTTTTCCTTGGCTCCATGGAGAGCAGCAGTGGGTGGGGGTGGGAGATGCTCCTCAGGCGGGAAGCGGGAAGCGGGGGAGCGTTCAGGGGGCAATCAGCAAAGGCTAGGGGGGATAGGGGCTCCTGAGTCAACAACCAGGGCACTCACCTTGGCACCGGGAGCCCCAGGGAAGCCAGGACCACCAGCAGGACCCACGGGACCCTGGAGGAAGGAACGGGGTACAGAGGTGAATGCCATTTCTGGACAGAATCTCTGCAGACCCTCAGAGTAAGCCACCCCCACACCTCACACTCCTTCCACCTTTGTACCGATTTGGCTCTACACCCATTGTGGCCTAAGTCCCTGGATGAAAACTGTCCCACTGCCAGTGTCCCCAGGCCTGGCTTCAGAAGGCAACGCAAGATACTGACTATATACATGGTGGGAAGCCGATGATTCTTCCACTTCTCTCTCTATCCCTCCTCAAAAAAAAAAAAAACTGCCAAAAGGGTGGCTGAGAAAAATGAATCATTGCTTCAAAGCTTATCAATAAGCTCAAGCGTATTGAAAAATTATTCCTCTTTCTTTCCAGTAGAGGTCTGAGCACCACTGTGCTGACACTGAAGAAACACAGCAGACTCCACGAGGCTACTGAACGGGCCTCAAGAACAAACCTGCCAAGGACGAAACAAACTTACCGGAGGTCCTGCAGGGCCTGGTTGACCGTCATTGCCCCGGGCGCCCTGTGAGCATGGAGAAGGAAGTAGCCATTGTAAGAAGTGCCCACACGTCCAGTCCCTCCCTGCCCACAGCCCACACCCACATAAAAAACATGGGTGACACTGTGCCTAGGGTATCCCAGGGCTAAGCATGAGGCTAGCAAGGTGTGAGCTGTGGGACAGCCCTGTGGGAGGGAGCGGCCCCAGAACCCCTCCATGGTGGCTGCGTGAATGGGTGATCAAGGGGGCAGCAGGGGGCTTGTTCTCAGCTTAACTAAAGCTTGGTCAATTGCCCAGCTATTCCGTGTAGATCTCAGTGTAGATCTTAAACTTCAGTGTAGATCTCAAATATCCCCAACTTCAAGGCCAAGTTATCATTTAAAGACTCAGAGAACTGAACCAAAGGAAAATGAAATAGCCAAGAAGAAACCCTGATGCAGTTCCTCCCACCTGCTCACAGAGGGAAGCACTTTTGGGGCTTGGTTAAGACCTCTCCTTGGCTAACTCCAGGCTGCCTCCATACTCTGGCCCCTCCCCGACAACCTGCTCCTAAGGAAAACAAAGATGCTCGCAGGATGTCTGCCACCAGCCCAGGGAGAGGCTCTGTGATGGGGACAGGGCACCCAGCACAGCCTGAGGACCACATCTAAGCTAGACTCCTTTATACAGAAAAGCAAGGCTGCCAGCTCTTTCTCTATAGGACTTGCACTCTGGAGGTTTTTTTCCCCCAGGTTTGTGGTGAGCACCCCTCTTTTTCTCACTTAAGGCTCCTGGGGACTCAGAGAAATTTTACCCAAACTCCAGGAACCATTAGGCTAGGTGGAGCTGGGGTTGGCACCTAGGTCCTTGGCAGGGGGTAGAAGTAGGCCAGAAGGTGACCTTTCCCCAGGAGAGCCCTGCCTGCCTGCCTCTGCCACTCCTTGGAAACTAAAGAAGAAGGGTGCTTTAGGGGGAGCTCATGTTTTAAATGAGACTCAAATCTTCTTTCTGGCTCTGGTCCATTCCTTCCAACTGAGTCTCTCCAGATTGGCATTAAACAGGAAGGCAAGAAGAGACTCCACAAAAAAGTGCCAGTGAGAACATAAAGCCTCAGCATTGGCCAGAGCCCCTTCTGGGCTGGCCTGGCTGCTTCTGGAAGCTCCGGGGAACCTGATCTTCAGGGCTCGGCCAGAGGAGAGGCCTGGGCCTGGCATGAGCAAAAAGGAGCTGTGGTGCTGCTCCCAGAGGCCAGAGCTGGGGTGGCATCCGAGGCTCTCCCTGTAGCAAGCCTGGGGGGGAGGACAAGTCTGGCCCAAGGGGGACCACGTGACTGTAGCTACAGCAGGCAAAGGCCAATCCAGCCCAGTCCCTGGCCCAGACTTGACACCAGCCCCACACTTGGAACTATGTGACGTTGTCAACCTTCTACGCCAAATCGTATGCATACTCTGCCAGCCTAACTACTGTGGGGACAGAAACCAACAAGGCTGACCAAGAAGCAGGGCCTACTGTGCCCAGGAAGGAGGGAGAATGGGGCATAGGGTGCAACTCATCTTTGTCCCTCATGGGGGCAGCCACCCTGGCTCCAGGCCTGGCCCAAAAGCCACAAGCCAGGTCCTGCTAATCTGAAGAAACAGCAGTGTTTCCTGGCAGGGCCCACACTCTCTAATCCCCTGACACCAAGTGACCCTAGGACAAGGCACTTCAGCAGCTCTGGCTGACAAATGGGTGTTGAGGCTGCTTGTTACTTCACTGATCTGCTTTTGAGGGAAATTTCTACCAAACAGATACATTATCTGGAAAGCAGCACAACTGAGTGGAGCTGATTTACTTTGGCCAGCTCTCGAAGGACCTGTGAGGAGGGGCCTCAGATCTTGGGTGGTTGGGGTATGAAATCAACAGAAAGCATAATCTTTCTTAAACCCGGCTTTCATCGCATCATTTGGCTGACCAAGCGCCTATGAGGGCTCTCTGTTGCTAAGGGATCAGAGCTAAGCACTGCACCCTCTGTTGGCTGCAAATCTCCTCGCTCTTAATTTCCCACATTAACAAGAGGCCACCAGAGTCTGAGGCTGCCAAGCTTTGTATGTCTTAAGCTATTTAACCTTCTGTGCCTCAGTTTCTTCTTCTCTGAAATGTGGAGGATCACAGAATCTACCTCATAGGATCAAAGGGAAGATTAGATGAGACAAAGCATATAAAGCACTACACATAGGAAGTGCCCATGAAACGGTGGCTGCTGTTATTATGACATCACCAGCAGCAGCAGTGTCATGAATAAGGTGAGGTGACGCTACATTTCGTATATCTGAGCAACCAAAAGGACAGAAAGTAACACTGTGCTGTAGCCAATTTAAGGCTGTCCATAAATTCAAACTGGACTGACTGGGGAATGGGTGCGCACTGTTGAGGGGATTACTTGAGTAATCCCCATTAGTTAAGAGAGAGTCTTGTCCTCACCATCGACACTCCCACAGCCCACCCTCTCCTTCGATTGAGCAGACCCAGCCTGGGAATTTGTGACGGCACACTCAGAGTGAATCCTGTGGGATGACAACACTCGCAGGGTTGTTCTGAGAGTCAAGTGAAGTAATTCCATGTGAAAGTGCCTCGTAAACTCTAAAGTGCTGGGCAAATGGTGGCTTTCAGCCTTGTCAATTACTCACCGCCGCACCGGCAGGGCCAGTCCGTCCTCTCTCACCAGGCAGACCACGGGGACCCTGGAACACAAAACAGAACAGCACAAGCATGAGTTGACTCCACAATACTTGGCGCCATCACTTCCGTAGGCCCTTCCCAGGCACCTGAGGGGAGGGAGCATGCATGCACCCCGGAAGCAAAGGTATGGATGCCTTCCTGACTCCTACAAAAACCACAGGCTTTTCTGCCCAAGCAGAACACACAGATGCTCCCGTCATTACTGATCTGGAGCCTGGTTACAGGCACATCTTGCCTCTTACAACAGATGAGTCCCCCAAGATGTGGAGGATAAACAGAATTTTTAAAAATTCAAGCAAGCACACTTGGGCCAGGAGAGTGGCGCGTTGGTTAAGAGCTGGCTTGGGACGCCAGAGGGCCTGGGTTCGGATCCCACATGTGAGCGCTAGTGACACTGCCCTCTACAGCTAAGATGCTGAACAACAGCTCAACCTGGAGCTGGGCTGCCTTGAGACGCCAGCGATGGCAGGAAGGTTGCCATGGGCTACCATGTGTGGCAAGCAGCCAGCATGAGCGGCCAGCAGCCACTGTGAGCGGCTGTCCAGAAGCCGGCGACTGATCTGCCTTGCCAGGGAAAAGCGCAATGATGGTGCCAACTTGGGCCAGTGAAGCAATGTCCTCCACAACTAGACTGAAGAACAAAAAAAGGATAGCAACTTGTCTGTTCCCCTTCCCCTAATTCCCCAATAAAAATCTTAAAAAAAAAAAAGTCAAGCACACTTAACGTGTGTTAGGGCAATTTCAAGGAAATGTTGGTGAAACCTTGAACAAATCATCTATTTACTACACTTTGCTATTTGTTCATAGTGGGATCAGTCTACAAAACTGAATAACTACTTTGCACAAAGAAAGCACTGGTGTTTATGGACAAGCCATCTGCTGGGCTGCAGGGAGTGTCTGAAGAGTGTCTGGATGCCCTCCAGGGGTAATGCTCATACTCACCATTGGGCCCGGAGAACCATTCTCACCAGGGGCACCACTCTCGCCCTAGAAAAAAGATACACAGGGTCAGTGCCTGGGACCCCACAGCCAGCCCCAGGAAACCACCAAGGAAGAGGCTGAAAGCTCTGGTCATCTCAGCTATCACTGATACCCCCAAACATCAGTTCTGTAAGGGACAACTCCCCGGGCTTTCTTTGTCCATCAGGATGTAAGACTGAGCGTTGCCCACCAAAGCTGTTCTGACTCCTGACTTTGCTAAGCTCAATGGCACTTCCTTGACTGGGAAGAAAGGCTCCCTATCGTCTCCCTCTGTCTCTGCATATTTCCTGGTCCTTACCTTCACACCTGGAGCACCAGCTTCGCCCTTTGCACCATCCAGGCCTGGGTAACCCTAGGGGACAAGAGAAAACATTGAAGCACACTTCTGGGGAACCCAGATAGGAAGAAATACACATGCCCCTAAATGCTTTTCTCTCCCTTAGGCAACCCCTTTCTTCCAGCACCCTCACCCACAATACTTACTCTGTGACCTTTGACACCAGGAAGGCCTGGGGTTCCTGGGAAGCCACGAGCACCCTGCAATCCAAAGAGGAGATGTCAGGGCACACAGCAGAAGAACCAGGTAAAGGCTGCCCTGAGCTGCTAGACAGCCTTTGGAGCCAACTTCCTCAGGTCGCCAGGGAGCAGTCGAGTAGCCCAGCACTTGGACAGCTCTTTTAGTAAGTCCCAGAATCCTCCTCACTGTGCCTCGCCCCATCTTATGCAAAGTGGGTAGAAACAACAACTGCCCAGCCTCCCCTGATAGGCCTGTGTTAGGATCATAAACATGATCATCAGCATGAAAGCCATGATATGTGTGGAGACTGTTGGAATTTCTGTTTAGAAGTGAGCAAACTGAACTGGATGAGCTGGGTGTGAGGCCACTGCCCTGAATGCAAGGAGAGAGGTTTGAGGCTGGAAAAGGTGGGGCTTTACCTGAGGGCCAGGAGGGCCTCTTTCACCAGATTTTCCAGGCTTTCCAGCTTCACCCTGCAGAAGAGAGATATGCCTCAGCTTCCTCGGGAGATACATTATCATACTCGGCACACTCCAAAATAGCATCTCTTCTCTCAGCCCTCCATGCCTTTGCCCACATACTGACTCATCCCCCTCACCTCCTTCACATTCTAGACTTCCCTGAATATCTTTCCTAAGTCACGATGTATTCTTTGGGACAGCTGCATGTTGGGTAAGTGAGCTTCTCTGTCCCCACCAGCCCCCACGTCCCCTAGTGGGTTCTCTCCCTGATCTACTGGGCTTCTCTCTGCTCTCCTGGGTTGTGCTAACTGGGTTCTCTCTCCCTAACCTTGGGAGACTTTGCCTGTCTAATTCTATTCATAAGAATAGCTGAAGCGCCAACTTTTGTCTCTTCACTTCGTTTGCATCCTTTGTAGACATCCTGACTCAGGCTGAGCTTTTCCTAAGTCATTTACAATTAAGATAATGTTGGGCTGTTGAACGTTGCTTTCTTTGTTTTTTCTTCTCTATATCTTTTCCCCTGGTGTTCTTCCTCTCCCTTCTCTCATTTCTCAATTTCCCTTCCTGGAGCTAATGATGTTTTAATTATTTCCCTTCCCAATGGGTCCACAGCAGTCCCCAGGGCACTTGCATGCTAAGTTGCAAGTGGGGATGTAGACAGAATCTGAGTCTTTGACTCACCAGTCTAGCCCTTTAGGATGCCTCCACCCCGGGGCTAAGCCAATCTCTGCCCCAGCACATATCCTCTCCAGGCCCTTTCACAGGCAGCCACTCATGTGACTACTCAGGTATACTCACATCATCACCAGGTTTTCCAGGGGGGCCAGGAGGACCACGGGGACCCATGGGACCCTATAAACAAAATAAGAGAGTTTAAGAGATGGTTGGAGATGGAAGACACTGAATCAGTGAACAAAGCTTTGGGACTGTAGATTTTGGAAGCTAGTTCTCCTCTAAGGAAGAAAGATGAAAAAACCCCACTCTGTGCTGAGAGCGAGCAAAGGTCCAGGGTAGATCACAGTGGGAGGCAGCAGACAGATAGGCCAGCAGTGGCCCAGAAAGTGGATGGTTATGACAGAGTTCCTGGTGGTCCTTGGCATGTTTGGTTCTCTGTCAGAGTTCCCTCATTGCTAAGAAGTGACATCTGCATCTCCTCTGAGCCTTCCACTGTGGGAAAGCACAGGGTAGATCAGCGGTGGGGGTGGGAGAGGGGTGTGACAGGACAGGGGTCTGAGTGGTACATCTTGGAGGGTCCCCAGGAGGAGGGCCGGGCCCACACTGGTACTCACAGAAACGCCGGGTTCCCCTGGTTCACCAGGGTTGCCTTGAAATCCTTGAGGTCCCTAAAAAGTAAAGTGAGGACACAAGGTTGACCCCCACAAACTGACAGCCAATTTGAAAGCATCTGCACTGCGACCAAGAAGAAAAGACCTGGTACTTACGGGAGCACCAGCAGGGCCTGGAGGTCCTCGAGGTCCCATGGGGCCCTGTGTTGGAACAGAAAATGAGAAGGTTTACTGGAAACGCTTCAGCAGCAGCCTCCAGTGTGCCACCTCCTCCCAGTCAGCAGCCCAGACAAAGGACAAGGAGCTATTCTGTGGGCAGGGGGCCTTCGGTGGCTGCTCCCTCTCATTTCCCACTCCCCACGCAACAATCTATTTTTATTTATAGGCTCTATTTGGACCAAGAAACTGGCCTTGCTTTCTCCTGGACAGCAGCCATGTTTACTAAAGTCTGAGTTTCATTTAGCATGTGCCAAGTCAGAGCTGCAGGGCTGAGATTTCCTGCTGGAAGTCTTGTGGATGCTGGAGAACAGTGGCTGCTGTCTGCATTTTTCAGTTCTCATTCCAAGAGCAACAGCGACTGACCTTCTAACAGATCGGCCTATATGCATCTCTCCATCCTCATTCTTCTTAGTCACTCCAGCGCATCATTAAAACTGGCATCTCTCGCCATTAAAAACCAAATGCTTTGGGCTAACTAAATGAAAGGTTACATAACTGATGGAGAAGAGCTGCTCTAAGCAATTATCTGTCAAGTGAGGTTGTCAGAGTCTCTGGCTCCGCTAAGGGCCACCTCCTGCCATTTTTGCTGCGAAGAACTGGTGTCTTTCCTTACCATTGGTCCTTGCATTACTCCCATCTGAGCGCCTCCAGCCTTCTCATCAAATCCTCCAGCCATCTGGGCAGCAAAGTTCTGTAAATAAGCCCAACAATATTAGGAGCTTGAGAGGCCCTCGGTGTTTCCTACTTGGCTAGGTAAGCTATATCTGGATAGAAAAAAAAACCTCTATTTAGATAAACTCTAATTGTTGGAGATTAAGCTAGCATTGACCAGAATTACCAATGAGTGCAGGAAAATCATTTTGGAAATGTGTTGTTAAATGACAGTGGCATAATCAATTCCCTGGAAGATGAAATGTTATTTGAAGGAGTATCAGTTACTTGCATTTCATTTTTATAAAATTATTATTTTTAACTCTAGAATATTAAATCCATTATTTGACACATATTGAGGACTATAATTAAAACCTCACTTTTAAAGGTGGATTTTTTCCCCCCAAAAAATGTTAATACCCAGCAAAAGGCTAAAATCAACAGTCTTGAAATATTTTAGCAGGGGATGTAGTAGGCGTCTGTGAGTTTAAAATTCAAAAATGTAAAATAAAGCAAACATCAAAATGGCAAACCTGCAAACCCTGGGCAATAATATAATTTGTTGATTGGTTTGATTCCAAAAACAACTTGAGCCACACACCTTCACTCAGTGGGGCTCTTTCATGAGAATGAATAGTTGCTTGGAATGTGTTTGGCAAGAACCAAGAATAAATGTCTTCCAAGGACAGTGGTCACTCTTCTTCCAGGGAACTACAAGTGCCCAGTCATTCTCCCCCAAACCCCCACACCCACTCCCAAGAATCGACCACACAGTACAGATGCCAGGGAACCAGGTAACTGAAGACTTTCTTTGCAGAAACCCAGCGAGTGGAAAAAGTCAACCCTTAGTGCCATAGTCTCATGCCTAATATGTGATTCCACTAAATTATAGGCCTGCGGGAGAAGCCCATGCTCAGGCTGTGTACACACTGCTGGCAGCCCTGGGAGCCAGCCAGGTAAGTGTGAGTAGCAATTTAGAAGCCACATTTCTGCAGCGACAGCCTGAAGAAAGGGGATGTAAGGATACTTACTCCACCAAGGCCAGGGGGACCCGGGGGGCCAGGAGGACCAGGGGGGCCAGGGTTTCCAGGGGTCCCCGGCTCTCCATCTCTGCCACGAGGTCCAGGAGCACCCTTGGCAGAAAAAAGAAAAGGCACCAATGTGAAGCAGTGTTTATGCAAGAACCCTCTGTCCATGGGCTGCCCATGAGACACGGTCAGACATGCAGAGGGCCTTCGAGGACTGGGAGAGTCCACAAGGATGAAACAGCATTGTTTCTCTACTCACTTTTTCACCTTTGTCACCACGATCACCTCTGGGTCCTTGTTCACCTGCAGGTCCCTGAAGGTGAAGAAATGTTGAGATGACAGCAAGGCCAGGGGCCTGCAGATCAGTAACTCAAGGAAGAAGTGGAGGAAAGGCTTTCTCCCTTTCTTTCTTACCTGAGGCCCAGGTGGTCCTTTGGGTCCTACAATCTGTGAGAGAGAGACCCAGAGGGTGGCACATTAGAGGGGACCACAAGGAAATGACCCAGTTAGAGCAGTAGAAGCAACACGGTGTGAGAATAATTTTTACTTACATCCTTGATGTCTCCAGGTTCTCCTTTCTGTCCCTGAAATTTGACACATTCTCAGGATTGAGCTGAGCAAGCCCACCAAGCCCCAAGCACAAAATCCTGCCCAGCAGCCCCTGCATCAAGGCGCCCTCTGAAACAGACCTCTGCTGACATCTAAAAAATGACAGGCTGCATGAGCAGAGCATTGCCTCTGAAGAAAACTATAAAGGCAAAAGCAAAAGCAAAAAAAAGCAAAAACAAACAAACAAAAAACCCTCACCTTTGGTCCTGGATGCCCTGCAAGTGGAAAAAAATAGAGAAAGAGAATGTAAGATTTGTGAGGTAGAGACATACAAATTCTTGTCCCTCAAACACTCTTTAAGGAATCAAACACAACCAAGGAAGGAGGCAGCTTCCTGTTCCTCTATTGAACCCTCTGTTGGGGTGTTAGAGTCACAGGGGTCCTGGGGTTGCTGAGGTCCCATGAGGAAGATCACCCAGATTTGTTATTCAAAAAGCAGTCAGCATGCAAAAGAATGGAGCAGGCGCAGTAAGAAGAGCTCAAGATCTAATCAGCCGCCAGAATAGAAAGCACCAGAAGCTGGCAGAACTGTCAGTCTCTTCTTTCCCCCACAGGATAGAGGAAGCCCTTCCCGCAGCCCAAGCCCTCCCAGAGGAAGAGTTAGGTAGTTAAAAAGGTCTTACATTCGAGCTGGGTCTCCTTGAAGCAAGCACAAAAAAAACAGCAGGGCACAGGAGTTATAAAGGGTATTGCAGCCAGGGCCACCCCAAATCAGTAACCCCTTGCCCTTTGTAGCAGCAACGGTAAAGGCAGCCAACACTTCACTCACAGAGGCCCCCCCACCCCCCACCCCTCAGAAATGACCTGGGAATCTGGATATAAAAGCAGCTTCCCCAAGCAGTTTCCCAGTGTTGATGAAGTGTTCAGGAAAGGCAACTTATCCCTTCCCTTTCAACTTTTTCTCTACTTAAGCAGGAAGAGAACCGTGAGAGCCACATGAGGCCTAGACATGGGTCCCCACCCACCCTGCAGGCAAGCATTTGAATGCTGGGGAGGTCACCTGCACACATATCATCCACCAGCACTGGTTCTAGCTGGGCGGTAATAACTGCCCACCAGAGTACAGGCGCCAGGAGCACTGTCCCAGCCCCAGCCCCAGCCTTCACCACTAGGACTCTCAGAGCCCAACTCCTCCTCCTATTATATTAGTGTGCTTCTTAACTGGCAGTCAGTCAACTCCAAGAGAAGTAGAAACAAAAGGAAACTGCCACCCAATGTTCTCCATCTCAAAGAGGGGGCCTGTCCTCTGTCTCCCAGTAGCCAGCAGAGGTTTCTTTTCACTAAAGGTCTTCTAAGAAGAAGACCCAAGATGTGGGTCATAGAGCAGGAATTAATCTGTGGTTTGGCCAGACGGAGTATTTGACCTCCTCTGTGGCTCTAGTAATTTGCAGGGATGATTCCAGACAGGACATTTTGTGGATGCACATCTGTCCTTGCATGTGTCTGGGAAGCACATATTTTGGAGGTGTTAGGTGAGGAAGCACCCCTCTAGTGTCTCAGGCTCACTCAGTTTCAACCTGCAAGCAAGAAGTGACCTTTCCTTTCAGCCTCAGCTGCTGGGGTCCCATGGATAGCCAACACCTCTGCTTCACAGAGATGACCAGCATCCATGGGAGGGCATTTGCTGCACCTGCAAGTAATTTATTTATGTGGAACAGGAAATAAATAAATTACGACCACTGGCAGTGGCGAGGTCAGTTGAGCAGATGGGGCAGCATTCTCCGAAGGGGGTCTCAGGGCTGAGGCAGTCTTTCATGTCTTCACAGATTATGTCGTCGCAGAGGACAGTCCCAGTGTCACAGACACAGATCCGGCAGGGCTCGGGCTTCCACACATCCTTATCATTATACCTCTGCCCATCCTGCACACAGCTGTCAGCCTTCTCTGCACCAAGGGTGGAGCAGGGGAAGCAGACAGCAAAGGGAAGGAGGGGGTGAGAGCCAGAAGAGAAAAGAGAAAGAGGTTGCAGTCAACTTGACATAATTCAAATGCTGAAGAATGTGGACTCTGGCCACCCAAACAGAGAACTTGAAAATTATTTTTCTAAGACATCATTCATTTTACCATGTATTCAACAAATATTTGTGTGCCTTGCACTATGCTATCTATTCACCAGTGAAAATCCTGACCCAGCAGTGAAAGGCAGGGATGGAGGTGGGTTGGCAGGTCTACTGTGCTATATTCACTTCATGCATCTAGCATGGGGGAGACCTGATAATGTGGTGGGGTGGGCAGAGGCAAGTTAGAGTGGGAGCAGGAGAAGATGAGACTCTGAATGGGAATTCAGGGGCTATAAAAACAGAGAAGAGGGAAAAACAAAGAAACCCTCCAGCGCAGGAACAGAGCCTTTTTTTTCCTGCCTTCCTCTAGGAATTATGGGATTTGCTAAATACAACTGACAGCTAAAATTCAGAAGGCATGTAGAAAATTCCACCCACAAAAATTAGTCAATAAATAGGCAGGTTCCAACAGTAGATATGGGGGGGGGGAGCTGAAAGGATGAACTATTAGAATTAGAATCGTGTCCCATTCTTTAAACCATATTAGAGTTGGGGCCAACTGGAGGCGGGGAGGGGGGGGGGATAGGCCCATTCAAACAACACATTTGGGACCCAAGCAGGCTAATTGCCTTGGGAGGCAAGCAGAGCCAAAGGGCCCTCCTCCTTGGAGAGATCCTGCCTCCACCTGAAGACAGCATCCCAATTTGCTTGGCAGGGGGCTTTGAATGCAGAGCCGGGGCTAAGGTTAGCCGTCCAGGCCAGGCCTTCACCAAGAATGCAGACCAAGAACGGCAGGGACGAGTCCCTTCCACAAGGGCCCTGCCGTCTGGAATCCACCCTGCAAATGAAACCTGTGCTGACAAGAGCGCTCTGGAGAGCGCCAAGGTCTGAAGAGCCCGCACCACATGCTAGGGAGCGCCCAGCGCTGTTTTTCTCATCAAAATCCCCAAAGCAATGGCAACTGCAGGGGATGAATAATAGGAAAGAGCCACAAACCAGGGGGCGGAGACAGAAACGGGCATGCCTCCTGCTCTTCAAGGAGACTCTGGAAATCTAAAGATAAACCGTTCTTTTTTTCTTTTCCACTAGAAGAAATCCACTCATCCTTTAGTCAAGACAATCACAGGAGGCGGGGGTCGATCCCAGGATCTCAGGGAACGTACTGAAGCCTCTGGGACACACCCACCGCTAAAATCGCTGGAGCTGTGGAAAGCCCTCAGCCGGGAACCGGGTAGAGTAGAGAGAGATTAATGGTCTCCCGACCGGACTAAGGAAGAGCCCACCCTCACCCAAGAGGGCCCAGGGTGGAAAGAGAGGGAAATGCTGGGAGAAGGGGGTTCACCCCGAATGCGGATCGGGTTTCTCTTGGCAGGGCTGCCAGGATGCGCGGGCGTAGGGGCGGGGCCAGGCGGCGCTGTGTGTGAGAGCCGCTGGGTGACTCTTTGTGGCTGCGGCTCTGGACATGGCTCGCCCTCAGACACTGGGTGGGTGAAAAGTGGGATTAAATGACTGCCCCAGAAAGGAGCCAGCATCGTAACCAGATCCCCTAGGTGTGGACGGAGGAGCCCAGCACCACCATAATTGCTGTTCCAAACCGCTGCAGATAGCATCCCGGCGCGCCCGATCGGGTTCCGCTCATTACCGCAGAGCCGTATAAGTGATTCTTTGTAGCAGGCCAATTAAAAAGTTACCTCTTTCGGGGAACTGTTTCGTTCCGCCGCCGCTTTGCTCAGGGCTGGAGCCCAGGAGGTGGCGGCGGGCGGGCACAGGGGGGTATTGTGAGAGAGGGGGTCGGGGAATCCGGGGGAACCCACTGGACCTCGCCTCTCATGAATGGGGCTTTTCTCGAGCGCACACAGAGCGCGATTCACAGGTCTCCGCAAGAACCAGTTTAAATAAATACGGGCAGCGTTTCAGCTCCATCTGGAAGCCATCGCTGCCAATCTCCCAACGCAAACAAGCCTCACAAAGGAGGATTGAGGTCTCTCCCCGGAGCCGAGGGGCACTTTCGGAGGCGAGGGCTGTGAAATGCAGATGTGGGTCAAAGACGCCGCCGCCAACAAGTGTCTCAAACTCGTGGAAAGATGGGAGGAGGGGCGTGCCCGAGCTCCAGGTTTCTGACATTCCTGACGTCCAAGCGGACTGCGTCTTTCCCCACGTCACATTTTTGGGTCCGCTAGCCCGGGGGAGGGGGTTATGGAGCTGGGATGCGCCAGGGCGCAAAATCAGCCGCTGGGATGCACTCTCTCTGGGGAGGAGGAGAAGCGACTGGAAGAGCTGGGCCCAAGGAACTGTGGAATTCACTCCTTCCTGGGAAAGCGGCGGCAGTGAGAGGGCTCTAGCCACTTAAGTGAGCGCCCCTAATACCAGATGGAGAATTTAGGAATTATTTTAGTCACTTAGCTAATTCCATTACGCACTAAAAGCAGAGGTCAGTCAAGAAGACAGCTTTGGGGTGTGTACATGCAAATTTAGGACAAAAATATAGTCAGGTGGAGCCCTGGTCACTTATAGACACACCATATTTCAACAGGTGCCCGGGAGCGCGCCGCCAATTTAGCGCACTACGCAACTACCGGGCCAGGATCTCCTGCCCCTGGTTCCTTCACTCCTGCCCCCGCCCTGGTCAGCCGCTCTAGGGAACCGAAAGTTCTCCCTGGCCCGCAGCCTCCCAAACTGTCTCTGGAGACAGCCTGGTGGCGGGCAAGACCGCATAGAGCCTCGTTGACAGAGGGACTTTGCTTTCTTCCTCCCCTCCCCCCGCAAAAAAAAAAGTTTTCTCCGCGATTGATTTACAATCTGTAACATACAAAGACAGGGCTGGAATCCCGGCCGTCGGAAACGTGCCCAAACACGTGGAAAAAAATCTGTCTACCTAATACACTTTCCAGGCTTCGTTTGTTCTGAATATAATCCCAGACAGTGGGCCTTTACCAAAGGAACGATGCGGTCCGAACGGACTTTGGACCAGATTGTAAAACTGCCATCTCTAACTATATTCGGTTGAAATAAGCTATAGCAATTGACGAGCTGTGCCCCTCTCCCCTGCCACACACACACACACACACACACACACACACACACACAGCCTGCAGCCTGGCTCGGTGAGTTCCAGAAACTTAGAAAAGTAACTCATTGTAGTACCTCGGGGATTTAGGGGGGAAAACCGCGGGGAGGGGGCGCTATTTTCCGGGGCGTTTGAAAAGCACGGTCTGGTTGGAATGTTATCGCCTTTCAGATGGCCTCCCCTTCGGGAAGTTTCAGGGGGAAAGCCGAGATGCGAACGAAGGCTGCACCTTGCTCCGGGGCCAGCCGGGAGGGGGAGGGAACCGCGAGAGGCACTGGGATCTCAGAGCGCCCCTCCGAAGCCTTTCTTTGTGGCCTCGGATTTCAGCCCACCAGTTTCAGAACATCTCCTTTGTCTAACTCCCTTTTGAACGCCCCAGCCACCAACCCCTGGACTCGACTGCGAAGTCTACCCCTTGGCTCTTGCTCGCTCCTTCGCTGGTGCTCCTTCTCTCTTACTTCTAAGAACGATGGGCCACGATCTGTTTTGCTGAACTCCGAGTGCTTCAGCAAGGCAAGTTGTGTGCGTGTGCGCTTAATTATCAAAGCTGGTGTAAAAGACCACGCTTAAATCTGTGTGCAAACCTCTCCGACTCTACACTTTGCACATTTAATATTTCTACGCAGCGTAGGGACCTGCAAATGCCTCCAACCGCCACCCGCACGGAGGACGCTTGAACAGAGCGTTGCAGAACTCCGCTGAATGAGCTGCTGCGCATCCTGCGCCCAAGTCTCGGCGCGCTATGACCGGAGGATCCTCTCTAACCCGGACCCGCGGGCTCCAGAGCGGCAGAGGGCCGAGGAGGAGGATGCAGAGGGACAGCACAGAAAGGTGGCAAGCAGGATTGGTGGGCGACTTACGGACATCCTGGCCGTGACACCGAAGGACAGTGGCGACGAGCAGCGTCAGCAGCACCAGCGTCTGGGGAGCCCCGAAGCGGATCATAGCTCACCGCAGGGCCTGGCGGAGCCGGGCCCGAGCGGAGCGCAGCGAGGCGGCAGGAGCACGGCGTGGGTCCGGGTCTCTACCGTGTCCTCATGCAGGAGGCCCTTGGAGCAGGAGGAGGAGGCAGGAGACCCGGCAGCCCAGCAGCGCTCTGCGTCTTCTCCCCGCCGCGGCGCCCGTTATATGCGCCCGGCCCCACTCGAGGCTGGTGAACTGGCCCAAACCGCGGGCCGCCCCTGGCCCCCCACGGGGCTGTAACCTGAGACCCCGCCCCCGGAGCCCGCCCAGGCCCAGCCAAAGCCCGCACCTGCCTGGGCCGGACTCCCCTCTCTGCTAGCCCGGCTTCCCACCCCCCACCTCTAGTGTGCCGAGTGGTCCGATCGGGCGGGGCACAGAAACGGCCCCTGTCCTACCCCCACTCGAGGTTGCAGCGCTGGCCCCTCTGACCACAGGCGGGAAGGGGGGCCTCCGGCCCCTCCCCTCGGATTTCTGCCCGGAGTGGAGGGGCGGGGGGTGTTTGCACAGGCACAGGCCGCGAGCCCTAGACCGGGACGGAAAAGACTTGCGAGGGAGGAGGGGAAGGCAGAAGGGAGCAGCGGGGAGCGAGAGGGGGGCACCGCGTTGGGACCTTGGGCAATGGGGGTGGGGTGCGGTGGGGCGCAAGGGGAGCCTGTGAAGGTGTCTGGGGTCCTAAATCTTGGAGACTGGCAAGCAGGGACAGGTTTGGGGGCCCTTTCCCGGGGTACCTGGCCCCCGGGCTCCCACCTGGAAATTCAGAACGGCAGCCCCCCCACCACCCCTCCCCCATCCAGCTATGCGATGAAAGAGCCTCCTCTGGAGCCTGGGCAGACGTTGGCTGGAGCCGATCGCCAGGAAAAGGGCCGGTGTGTTACAGCACAGAGGGAGACCTGTGTGAAGGTGGGGGGGAGCGGGGGCAGGTCCTGGGAAGGGGGCTCGAGGAGCCAGAGACGACGTAGGGAGCCGAGACTAAACCGTGCACGCTGCCGAGGTGGAGACCGTCTAATTCCAGGCTCAGACGTGGTGTCTGCTCTTCCTGGCCCAGCTCCGGGCGTCCCGGGGGGAGTGGGCGCTGCCGGCCCGGACTGAGCAGCTCTGGCCAGAGACGGTTGGTCACTACTGCAGCCCTGTCCAGGGAGAGAGGCCGCTCCAGCTGGACAGAGTTCCCTGAGCCAGGGCAGAAGCCAGAATTTCCTAGTTGGCCCCCTGGCCCTCCGCTTCCCACCTCGCCTCACCTTTCCCGGTGAGCGCCCTCTGGCACCTTGCCCAAGTTCTGCCTTCTTCCCAGGGCTCAGCAGTGTTCTTCGCTTGGCTCTTGGTGTCTCCTTTGATACCAGGTAGAAAAAGCCCCCAAACGGACTTCTTCCACTTGAGGAGATAGCTTTCTGTCCCTGAGGATTGTAAGATTCCTCAAAGAACTTTAGACAAATGCAAACTTGCACGAATCTCAGAATTGGGGTCTGACTTAACCAGAAGTCCACTCTCCAGCAGTGGAGTTTCTGCAGCGCTTTCCTCCTGGAAGCTGAGGGCACTTGGAAGAGGCTGCTTGTAACACCCTGGCCTCAGGCTTCCTTCCACAGGGGGTTTCGGGCTTCCCCACCCCCTCCCTTCCCCTCATGATTTGAAGTCTTTGAGTTTCAAGTGTGCAGAGCTTAACTTCTCTTCAAGTGTGCTGGCTGGCAAAGGAAAGAACTTTTATTGTTTAAAGAGAAGGCTCCACATTTTGCCCAGGATGGATAGAGGTGGGTGAAGGATTAAACCAGTGGTTCCAGCTTTTCCTCTCCTGCCATGGGCCTTCCTTGGCTCTTTTCCCATCCTTCTGTTCAAGGCCTTGCATTGAACTCTGATACTCTCTCCAGCTCCAAACTCTGCCAAGAGAAAGGGGGTCTCAGAGCCACAATGTCTCATGCCCTCCTTGAGGCCATAGGTCCTATCTTCTCCACCTAGAAGGTAGAATGGCCAAATTCCACACACTTCTCAAGACCTTCTAGGTTTAAACCCCTTGGAGAAGCGTGCCCTGATAGCTCTAGAACACAGTGTCTCTCTGCATCTCTGTATCCTGGCATTTATAGCCCATATCCACAGTTACACTCTAAGCTACATACTTTTGTGTGTAGTTCTCAGCCTCCCCCCCCCCACCCCTCCACTTTATATTCATTGGCCTCATCTTTCCAACCAGCTTGGAAGCTCCTTGGGGACAAGAACAGTGCTTAGCACAATTTTAGTACACAGAAAGATTCAGCTAAACCCCTGTGGACTAATACATTTAGATGCAAAATACAATTTATGATACAAGCAATACACAAGCAGCTATAAAGCTAGGCATTCATACAATTGACCTCAAATACAAGTGGCTATAAAAATTCAACTGGAAAAAATGAGGTTTGGTGAAAATACTAAGATACATGAAAAAATTGAAGCCTATTTTAAGGTGATTTGGTTCAGTAGGCAGCAAAGTGATAAATGCTCCTATTGCTAAGTTGCTCTTGATTTCACCCTCTAACTTTGTGATTCATTTTTGCCAGTGAACTGTATCTACCTACATATAAAAACTCTGGATTTTTTTCTACTAATCATCGTTTATCTGTGAATACAAAGTTTAGTTCTCCACTCCCTAAGGGGAGGGGGGAGTTTTTTCATCACAGATGAGAATTGACAAAGCCAATATCAACTATGCAAATTATTTAAATTATAAAGTCATCTAAACCAATATTAATATTTTACCCTCCATGAATCCAAACAACTACAATTTAAAAACCTCTAATTTGTGACTCTGACTGGAAATGAACCTATATGTGGCAAAAAAAAAAAAAAGAATCGCTGATTTGGAGATTATGTATCCAGCAATATCACTATCCAGAACGTAGCCAAGAAATTGAAAAGAAAGGAAAATAAACCTGAGAGCCAGGATAGCAACATCACTCAGAAGTCTGAGCAGCCAGAATTTACATTATGTACTAAATCTTATGCATTTTGTGCATCACAGAGTCCCTCTTACTCTATGTCTATTAATTCATACTTCAGATACTGTACTAACAGGTAGTGTCATCTGACCTCACCATATAGATACAGCAAAAGAGAGGTAAGCTAGGAGAGCAGTTGCTGGATAAAAACACAGTAAGAGCAAGAAGGGATGATAAGAGAGGAAGTTGAAAAGCAAGATATGTTGACAATGAATAAAAAACATGGTAGCCTAGGGCCAACAGGATAGGGTCAATAGCTCTATTATCCTCAATTGTTCCAGGGAGTTTCCTTATCCTGGTTTATAATGATAAACTTAAATGTCCAATAAAATGTTAATTTAAGTGTAATCTGGTGTCTTCAAGGAGACAGGGAAATATTATACTTTAGAAAGGTCTCCATTAAATATAATGAAAATAAATGTCCACTCGCTTAATGTGCAAGATCTTATATTCTAGCAGTGTTAGACAGACAAGGAAGTATTACAGTTTCTAGAACTGTAGAGCTGGAATCAGAGCTGCCGTTTTCCCCACTTGGTGGAAGAAGGACTTCGGTGGCTGAGAATGAAGGTCCCACCTTGATCATTCACTTGCACCTCTAAGGACAGCATGCCTAACAGTATGTAGAACAGTCAGAAATAACAGACACAATCAGTGTATCCACCCCAACCAGACCAACTCGGTGAGACAAATGGATTACACCAGTCATTTTGTGTTGGAGAGACAAAATAGCTGTTTCACTATTTTTCTCTCTTTTATGGGGATATTAAATTTGGACTTATGTAAACACAGCCTTATTGAAAAAGATATTTGTAGGTAGACTGTAAAGAAAAGATCTCTTTCTCTCCCTCGACACAAATCCCATTTTAAAATAGTGATAAAAGTGAGGAAGGATTCACATTCCAAAGAGGTAAGCCCACCCCAAATATGGCAGGTGGTGAATGTGCACCCTTCACTCAGCCTCCAGCCACACTTCACACAGAAGGCCAGGGTGGAGGCGAGTGGGTCCAGCTCACCCAGTGACATTCCGCTTCTGTTGGTCGGGCTCGGGTCAGACATCCTTTCAAGATGTGTTTATGTTTTGCTTTGGCATTTTGGGGGCAAAGTAACAGGACCAGGGCTGTCCAGGATAGGGTTTCCAGATTTATGGCTTACATTCCATTTCACAGGAGCATAAATATGTTACTATGTATTCTCAAACACAAACAACATTAAGAAGCCCAGCTAGTCTCCTCGGAACAGCCCCAGCACCATGCGAATTCAGTTGAGTACTTGTACTGAACACCCACTCCTATATGAAATGGAGATCGAGAGGCTTAAGAGACTCTCTTTGAATCTGTAGGGTAAACGAGAAAAAAATGACTGGAAAATGCTGCAGAAAAGGTACCCTCCTCCCTCCTAAAATACAAACAAGCAAACAAACAAACAGAAAACAGAAAGAAAGAACAGCATTCGATGGAGGGGCGGGGGGGGGGGGGGGGTCGCGGCACAGAGCAGGTTGGGAAGGATTCTGGGAGCAGTCTCCAAGGCTGGGTGGGGTTTTGAAATGCAGAGGCATAGTGAGAAGGCAGGATTGCTCCTGTAAGAAAACAAAGACAGACAGATAAACCAGAAATCACAGCAAGGGGCCCAGCACAGTGTGGAGTCAGCCACAGGGGACAGTAGGAAGAAGACAGGGCGCTAGGGATGCAATAGAGGCCAGGCATGGAGGACTCCATGAATGTCACCAGTTGTCACTGAGTGGGGCTCGGACCTGTCTTTCTCACTTCTCATTTTTCCCTCTTCTAGTTACAATAGTTCCTACTAGATAGGACTTTGGGGGGAAACGAGAAAGATGCCTGAGATTTTTTTTAAGGCTTACTTCTTGAAGAAATGGCTGTACTTTTATACAGAAATTGTTATTTTTTAACCTTTTTAAAAGACAAAACGCTTTCATGCCAAATCTTGTATTTTCTTTACGTGCATGGCTTTCTGGCCTTAAGGAACATATGTCTCTCTCATCAGCTCTTAATGGTTCTGGAATGAAGGGAAAAACATAAGTGCCTCAATGCAGAGATGTCTGAGCACTCCCAGCAGAGGTTACATGTGACGCAATCAGTTCCATATCAGGTGGTTGTCCAGCCATGGCCATTTCCAAGAGCCAGAGAGCATTAGCTCTGGGCACTCAGCAAGCAACAGTATAGCACAGTGGCTCCAGGGGACATAC